AAGACCAGGAATTCCAAGGAATTCCGAAGGAATTACGAGGAATTCTGAGGAATTATTTGAGTAAAAGGAATTACGGTGTACACTTTTCCCTCTGCGGTTTACCCCTCGGTTCAGTGTGAGAACAAGGGCCTTGTTGAATATACTAACATTTTTTGACCCTGACTGGGCGAATATCTTAGCTCACAAAAGAGCAAACAGAAACAATAAATAGAATAACTCATAGAATAAATGATAATCTAAAGTTATTTGCACCAAACCTTCAACTTTAGCTTTGAGACTCGCAATAAGAGACCTTTGTATCTGCGGTTGGGGGACCTGCTAAGTTAACAAAAACTCTTCAGTTTTGAATTTAATAAAATTGTTATGTTTTGGATGTATTAAACTTCAAACCTTGGTATGAGGACAGTTTTTGTATTATTATTATTTCTCCTTTATTAAAGTTCAGTAAGGTTAGGTTAGGTTGCATTGAGGTGAATAGGTTTACAAACCCTCTTCAACTTCGTTGAACGACCCTGGGTTGTTTGTTATACTACAATATAATTCTTAAAAATGATTGAAACAATATTGAGAAATCAGAAAAGAGTGTTGGAATACGTTCAAGAAATTCAAATTTGCTGAAATGCGTTTAAATTGCATAATACCCTCGAGAATTTTGCTCCAGTGAAGTGTAGAAAATAAGTGTTCGATTTTTCCGACAGTTTTATTAAAATAAATCGTAATTTAAATAGGAAGACGTTCTGGAAAATAGAAAGAAGCATTTGGATATCTTAAAGGAACTGAAAGCTTTCACTTGCATTTGAAATCGTTCTTAATTTCTGTATTTTTATTTTTTATCAGTTTTATTTATGATGCTGAATATAATACAAAATGAATTAGAAACCATTTAGAAACTAGGTACTCAGTGACCTCTTACATGAAAACTAATTTGTAAGAATGGCAATAAGGTAATTATTATAAATAGATAATAAATATCTGTTAATAATGTAATAGTAAACAAATCAACAATAAACATTCTAATCAGTTAATGATAAATATATTTGCTCATAATATTCCTATACAGGATACACACTTCTTTATATCTTGTTTTCATTTAAATTAGATTTTGTAATATTGTTTTTGGACAATTAAAAATCTTTTTGAATTGGTATGGTATTGAAAAAAGGAACATTAAATTTGAGAGAAAGTACTTGTTACATTATAAAACTAGTGGTTTTCACTTAATTGGGATTTAAACATGTAATTGTAAACAAATCAACAAAAATGATTCTAGTCTCTTAATGACAAATATATTTGGTCATAATATTGCTGGACACGATACACACATTTTTTTATATTTTGTTTTTATTTAAATCAATAGATTTTTGAGTATCGTTTTTGGATTAAAAAAATTAAAATGTTTTTCGAATTGGCATTGAAAAGAAAAAAAGAAAAACATTAAATTGTACGTGTTAAATTATAAAAACAGTGATTTTCACTTAATAGGGTTTAAAGATCGTACAATATTGATCTAGAATGTAAATCATCTGGGAATGTACATTTAGTGCTACGATTCAATTTACGGACTCGTAGAATGTTTAACGTTCCTACTCCGTTATGTACCACAAAATGCTTTACAAATTCTATTTGAAGAATTTGTGTAACAGTGATGTTTTTGGTAACAATCAAATTCTCTGTTATGTAATGAAATATAATATATCTTAATGGTTTATTAATAAATATAAATAACAAATATAAATAAAATAAATAAATGCTTTTATTGTCAAAATTTTTTACAATTTGTAGACAAAGGTAAACTAAACAAATAAAGTAAACAAACAAACAAACAAAAGAGAATACAAAACATTATACAAATAACACACACATATATAGGTAATGCATTTTGCTAAGTTAATTAACTGAGTTCGAGAGATCGAGTTTATTTATGTAATATATACTGGGTTAGTCTTATACAAGTGCAAATAAGTCCAAAATAACCAAGCTATTTTACTCTTAAAATTAAAAAAAAAATATATTTTTTCCTTTAATTTTGAAAACCATTTTTTTCTGGCTTTTCTTTCTTGTAAATTTAATCAACTACCTCTGATCCCAAATTATCAAGATGTTATGTTTTTACCAACAGGTATGGTAGGCTATTAAGATCGGCATTTTTTTTTTATTTCACTCAAAATGAGTTATTTGGGTCATAAATGACCTAAATACAAAATATTTTCATGGTGTCTGTCTGTCTGTCTGTTCGTCTGTAACACGATAACTCAAAAACCGCTAAACCGATTTTAATGAAATTTGGCACAAAAATACTGTGGCACCCGAGAATCTGGCCATTAGTTTTTCGTGGGGATGGGGGGTTGGTAAGGGGGTATGGGAGGGGGTTAAAATTTTTAAAAAATCGTTACTCCAAAATTACAGTAGCTAGCGAAACGTGGTTTTCAATATAAGATTAGGAATAATATTTGCAACAAAATTTGTAATAACATCAAAATCAGTCAAATTCGCAGTTTTTGAGATAAAAAAATGCTTTTTAACATATTTTAGTATGGACGGCTATACGTGCCTCCCGGCGCCAATTTTTTTTACAAAAATACCAAATTTTCAAAACAATTTTTTTGCAAAAAAAAATTCTCAGATGTGTTTCAGGGGTCGAATATACCACCCTTAAAAATATTTGCCCTTATTTAAAACTCACCCTGTATAATGAGATGCTAAATATTTAAAAAAAATAAAATTAGGCATATTGGTTGAAAAAGTAAATAATGATTAAATAAAATTTATTTTTTCTACTAAATGTTCACTGTTTTTAATACTATTTTATCAAAAATTAGTATTTAATTTTCAAATTATAGTAGAAGTGCTGTCACTTAAAAGTAAGAGTTTGATATATTTCTAATGTATCCAACCGCTGATACTTGATAAGATTTGTTCTATAATATGTATCAGATAAAAAAGAAGATTAATCGTTTTAAACTTGTATTGATCCAAGACGATAAAGTAGCTGTAAAGTATGATGCATTTGGTGATAAAATACTACGTCGTTTCCAATAAGATGAAAAAAATAATAAAAAAGAAGGTATAAAACCTATATACAGATATTTTATAGTATAAGTATAGGGGAAAAATTGTAACTTGGTTATTTTCTTTTTAAACATGACAATTCCGAATATTTATAGTATTTATTATACCGTATGATTTTATAATTAACGATCGATGGCATTCCTCATCTAATTTTACATACAAAATGAAAGCGATCTTCGTTTCAAAGCTATCTTTCACCCGATTTTTTTCGATAATTTTATTGCCTTTGCATTTTTTATGGTTTTCAAAATCCCAAAGGTATTTGGGACACTGTGTACATTTTTTAAAATAGAATATAAATATTGATTTACTTTGTAAACAAACAACAACATTTGCATAAAAAAGTATTGATGAAGAAATTTAGTGTAAGAAAGCACTAATATATTAGTAGGTACGCCATATATACATTCATATGTTTGGCAAATTGATATTACATTTAATTAACAAGATAATTGAAATTTATATCCAAAAATTATTATTTGTATGGTCATCTTTTTTTCCTATTAATTAATGTAGCTTAAAGCAGTTGTTTTAATTCCACATTTGATTTTTTTGTTTCTTGCAAGCGTACCCATGTCACATTAGGTTGAGGTAAATGTTCTTGACAGCAAGGCTTTTTAAAATATATTGGGTTCGCATCTCTAATCACGAAACTAAATTGTTTTGTTTCATAAACAGACAACACACACAATTCAACATGGAATAAACATCTTTTTGTTCATAATCATCTATTTTTTAAATATTTTTAATTTTTTTAAAAATATTTTATTATATTTTATTAAGTTTACATTAACAGTTGGTTAATTAACTTTAAATTTAATTTTTTTAAACCAATACCTTTTGACCTTATCTTCCTAAAGTACTAAAATCTGTTAATTACCTTTATATTATAAAAGATGTATCCGATACAAAAACTCGTAAGTGTTTTTGAATAGTTTTATTTAGATATTTTCAATTTTTTTTCTTTGTTCTTTGTTTTTTTTTTGCTTCTAGCAACGTAAGGTTGCACCTCCTGAAACGTTAAGCACTTTTTGTCAGTTAGACAAATTTTTTTTACTTGAAAAATACCAATGACAAATTGGTCTCCGTTGGATCAACGCAGGGGTGTTTACAAGATTTTTTTTTATTTTTTCTGATTTTCTTCTAGTAGCGAAAGACCTAGAATTCTTTTCGAGAAATATTATTAATACTCTTGCCTTTTTCATTTGATAATTCAAAGGGTAATTTCGTCTTTTAAAACTATTATTAATGCAGCCCCACTGTGCTATTATGGCCTCTAAAGAAACAAGATAAATTGAGATGATGCACAGTTCTCGTTAACTGCATAGAATAAAGCAAGAGTTTGTTGGGTTCTGGTAAGGTTATGAAAATAGAGCACTAATTAAGTTGATGGTGGGGTTAGAGAAATATTCGTAATTAACAGTGTTTTGCGCAGTATTATATTTTACGTTTACTTGCTGTAAAGTGAAATAAATAGATTAAAAAATAATATAGTCAAATATTCACTTTATATTGTGCTGTTTTGACTAGAAATGATCCGCAATATCTGACTTCATTGTTTCAACTTTCTGTACATGTTTTTGGTGCATTTTGAGGACGTTTAGTCTCTCCAATAAACTACTCATCGCATTCACAACATATCTGGTAGGTGCGCTTTTTCTCTTGTTTCAATGATTCCGGCCTTATTTGTGTTAGGACGCTTCTTAGAGTCGATCTAGATTTGAAGACACTTTTAATGTCTTCAAAGCTAACATCATACAAAACTAAACAGCATACATAGACTCATAGAACGTGTTTAGAATTTCATGAAGAATCCAAAAATCAAAAAATATATTGAGAGTTATATTTAAAATAGACAATAATTTTGTCTACATACCTATGACGTTACATACAAAAATCCAATCTGTATTTGATATTTCTGTTTGTTTCAGACAAATGCATAATGTACGGGTTGATTATAGAAAACATGTCCGAGTATATCAAGCAAACCTACGGCGAAGACAAATGGGAAGAAATACGAAGAGCTGCCGGTGTGGAGCAACCCAGCTTCAGCACCCATCAAGTCTATCCGGAAGGTCTGATACCTCGACTGTCGAAGAAAGCTGTGCAGGTACGAATTACAAATCTTAAGGCGCATTCTCACGACTGGTGTACTTGACAAACATTGGAATATACTTGCCATGTCGTGAGAACGGTTTCCTTGGTCACTCGTCGCGTCCCCACTCTCTGTCAGCAAACACAGCCCGAGTCAAACGATTAATCGTACACTTGCCCAGTGTACTTGGTCAGCCTTGGCCAGCCTTGCTTAAGCCGGCCTCCTACGATGCGGGATTTGGCGAGTTTGGCGCGTGATTTGGCGAGCCACGCGTCGTGGGAATGAGAGCGCTCGTCGATGTGACGAGCGGGTCGCCTCGGCGCGGTCTTCCGGTTAGTTGTCGGTAAATGTGGTTCAAGTCAAAGGATGAACGAGCATCGCAGGCTCAGAACTTGCCTGAACTTGTTGAATCATTTCCTACCATACCCACGTAGGCTTGTATTAAACAAAAATGTTTTGCAGTCTCAGTAGCGTTCTTCATATCGTCGCAGAATAATCGTTGAGATAGGTGTATTTTTTGCAAACTAAGTTCTCATTTATTTATTTTTTGAAGAATGGAGTGGTCAAATAAACTGGTTATAGAATTTTTGGAACTTTACGAAGGAGAACCAGCAATTTGGAATCCAAAGGATCCAAACCATAAAAATAGAAATATTGTTCATGATAGTTGGAAAAGAATTGAAACTAATTTACGTGTCCAGTCGACGGTCGCGTGCAGATTTACACTCGCCACGCGCCGCGCCGTGGGAAACAACCACGCTCGCTGATTCGCCACTTGGCGAACTGACTTGCCAAGCCGAAATTCACCAAGTCCCGCGTTGTGGGATGCCGGCTTTACACTTGCCGAATAATTGTACTGTTATAGCGTATGTCCGATTTATTTCCGGATCGTAGTGTTTTTCGAGTTAATTGCGGATAATTTAAAACGTTAAAACAATAATAGATTATGTAATATCAAATTTACATTAATAACTTCAATATTGGCGGCATCTAAATCGTTCCCACAGCAATAAATGGAGTGGATAAATGAAGACTATACGGGAAAAACCAGATATATTACATTTTCATAGAAATTAAGATAGCGACGTTGAGCGATATAACTTTATGGACAAATGTTAACGTAATTCGAGAAAAAAGAAAGCAATAATACGCTTAGTGCTAGAGATATTACAGCTTGGTTATTTTGCCGTACAAAGGAAAAACTAGAGTACTCCACGAGTAAATGGCAAAAACCAGAGATGTACTGACGCATGGGCGACAAGCATGCATCTTGCAATTAATATTATATGTTATAAATTTATTTATTGTAATAAAAACCTACTTAAATATTAATTTTCACCCTACAACAAAAAAATAATAGTTTAGATTTATGTTTTATAAAACCTTTAATTGGACATCCCTGGTTTTCCCCTGTTTTGTTTTGCATTTTGACATTTTTATTTCGGCATTTCAGAATATGTCGATAATTCACAATATTAATAATTCAGAATTGGTAGTAATATATATTCTTCTAATTATTCAACCGAAAATAACATATCTCTTTAAAAACACTAAATTGCATTTTTCTCGGCTCCAATTAAAATGGACAAAACTGGGTTTTCCAGTATAGTCTTCAAATGATGTTGTTTTGGAATTTATAGATTTATACGAAATGAGCCCTTCATGTGGATGGCCAAACATAAAGGACATAGAAATCGTATTGCAGTGTACAGTAAAAGAACTTAAAAAGAAAAAAGAATCACTAGCAACGAAAATTTCGGGGCGACCGGTATCCATCGATGCGACTATACGTTTACTTGCCAAGGATTTAAACAATGTTTGTGCTGGGGTACTTGTTGAAATGGACACGTCGTGTGAGCGCCACACTTGCCGATGTTGTTTACAAAGTGGGGACTGGTGGGGATACTTGCCAAGTACGCAAATATTGGCGTACTTGCCAAGTTGACGAGTCGTGAGAGTGCGCCCTTACGACTCGTCTATTAATCAAAATAATTAATTATGGCAAAAAAATGTCCATTTCAGATCCTCCAAATCACCGAAAAAGAGTTCTTCGACAAGATGGGCGTGTTCTTCATCAGCTTCGTCAGCCAGTACGGCTACGACCGGGTGCTGTCCGTGCTGGGCAGGCACATGCGGGACTTCCTCAACGGGCTGGACAATCTGCACGAGTACCTGAAATTCTCCTACCCCAGGATGAGGGCGCCCAGCTTCATATGCGAGAACGAGACCAAGCACGGATTGACGTTGCACTATAGGAGTAAACGAAGGGGATTCGTTTATTATACTATGGGACAAATAAGAGAGGTAGGTTTTATTCATATTTTATTTCTAATCCAGACTCTATAAAGTTTCGTTCATAACCTCGAAATTAGTGGAAATTAGTGGACTAAATTAGTGGTTTCAGTTATACTTTATACTTAAAAGTTTACTATCATTCAAAAATACAATTAAAATTAGTAGAATATCCTAGCAACAGCTTGGGTAGTCAGTTGTATCCCTAGATCATACCCTGCTGGCAAGCGAAACCTTGGGTCGGAGTTTACGTGTATAAGAGTGAATCGGCTATAGTAATCTAATAAGTCGGAGAGAGCAAAAATACGAAGTATTTATTACATAATCACTTAATTTGACGCTAGATGCCATGCGCTTGGAAAACACTACTCTTTGCACACACGAAAATCGGCACCCACCAGAAACGCCGAACCTTAGTATATACTTACGTGGATAAATCAACGCCATAAGTTTAGCATTAAAAATATGTCTCCAACATCACGACATGCCATTTTCAAACCTTCTTTATTGCACTTATGAAACGTTCAATAGGTTTGTCCTTCTTGAGGATCTTATAGTACGAGAGCTAGCAACGTCGAAAAAACAAGTATTTTAAGACGTCTGGCTCTTTGATATATCTTTTACTATGCTCTCTAGAACAGCATGGCTGCCGGTAAACGTTGCGTTCCCTACTGGGATCGAACATGTCTCCATAGGGCAGTGCGTAGAGTTTCCGACCACGAAAGGATGATTCAGAGTTCGAATCCGGGTCAGGACAAAGACTTTTTTATTTTATTTTTGTTTATATTCTGATAGTAAAGTATTAAATATTTGTTTTTTTTAAGTTATCAGAATTATTTAATACTTTACTATCAGAATTTAAACGAAAATAAAATTAAAAAGTCTTTGCTTTGACCCGGATTCGAACTCTGAATCATCGGTTCGTGGTGGGAAACTCTACGCACTGCGCTATGGAGACATGTTCGATTTATATTTAATACTATAATTTATAGGACTAAATTAATAAAAAATATAGGATCTTCTTCCGATGCGCAGTAGTGGACGCAACGGGTATCGGCAGCCAGACGGGCCGCATGCTGTTCCAGAGAGCATAGTAAAAGATATATCAAAGAGCCAGACGTTTTAAAATACTTTCTCGAGAACGTTGCTAGCTCTTAGACTATTACTTTGTGCATTAAAAGTTGCACTGATTTCCAAAATAAGCACAGTTTTATACGGTTTAGAAAGCACAAATTATACATTGTTATGGAAACCAACTTTTCATTGTCATCATATTGTCATAATCTTATTTCCATTGTGTTACGACGCTTGTTTTTTGCGTTTTTATTTTAAAAATTGTATCAATCACGCTTTTATCGACCGCTTTTATATAGCCAAGGATGCAAGTGCGTTCAGTGAGAAGTTAATTTTAAGTTTGTGCAATTATATTTCTATTTTTTTTTTCGTTGGACTTTCTAAATACTCGTAAAAATGACTAGAAAGTGTTTAGTGTGTGAAAGTTGTAATATAAAGGTCCCCGAATTATCTTTTCATAGGCAAGTAAAGAATACAGTTGTTCTTTTATTTATATTAAGCCGCATGCATACTTTCTGGTTAAATTTCCTGAGAATATTGATATTCGTACGGAGTGGCTAAATGTATTTTTTATATAATAATTTAATTTTCGTGACAGTAAACATTCAATTTATTGTTTAAATATAAGCATTTGACAAATTAAATTTTTAAAATTAATGTTCAAATTTGGCGCGCGGACGATAGGTCCTCGACAAGGATAGATAGAGTAGAAGAACAGCGTGTGCAACAAAAAAAGAAGATAAATGGAAGTCGTTGATTTGCGACAGTTTCCATAGTGATTTACTTATCCACGTAAGTATATATGATCTAGGAATAAAACAATCAACTTTTTTTCTGTAATAACAATTATTTCTCGTAACGGATGTTAATCAAAGGCCAAAATGACATTACTCTCAAATTTTGAAATATAATTGGTGGAAAAAGTTGAAAGTTTGTAAACTTTTTTTACTAATTGAGAATTTGAGCTGTGTAGTTTTTTCGTGAACTAGTTCCAATGTACTAGTTCCGAAGAACTATTCCGACACCGGTACGAAAGGAACTAGTTCCCTGTTTCTTAAAAGACTAGTTCCTCAGGACCTATTCGCTTCGAGGACCGAGACTGTGGCCGAATAATATGAAAGATCCAATGAAAAAACATGATAAACACAATTTTACTAATTTTACAGCAGAGCACCGAACGGCTGGTGGTTATCAAGTTCTTTTCGTGTATTCTATTTTTTACCAGGCATATATCATAGCATTTAGCATCTTATTGCCCTGCAAAGTTTTTTAGGGACAGGTTATACCTTCTATAGTATTGTAAAATTCCTAAAATTAAGAAACTGGCGCTTATCAAGTTTTCCCCTGGACACTTCATTGCGACGGCGACGCACAGTGGTTCCCCTTAATTAGCTGCGCGGTCATAACTGTTATATATCTAGATATAGCTTGACCGCACCTTTTTTAATAGAAATTGATAACAAATGATAAATAAATGTATATAAAAAATTTAATGTAATAATTAAAAAAATTGGGCCCAGTTCGTGTGATTTACATTTTAAGTTCTAACTATTCGGAAAGGTATACAGATTATGTTTGTACATATGTTCATATTTTTTCATATTGAAGAGGTAAAATTTATTTTAAAAGTTGAAAAAATAAAAGAGGCAGTTGTTTCATTTTATAAATACAATTTTATCATATAATTTTATTGTCAATTGATATACAGTGTGTCCACGCAATAAGTTGACACGAAGAGGAGAAAATAAGGTACTTTTATTTTAAGACAAAAAGTCAATCTTTAACCACCCGGTATAAGATCCGGCGGCAATTCGCGGTAGCTAGTGGTAATTAATTTATATGCAATATACTTTAAGCAACAAGTATTTTCATGCCGTTTAAGAAGATTTGAAAGGGAAAGTATTTAAAAGTCTTGAAGAGTGACAAGCAAAAATGTAAAAATACTATTTTTGTTACCTTCAAATAAATTGCCATAAACTAATATTACTTAGGTTTAATTAAGTGCAAAAAAGAAAAACAGTTCTTTTTACCTTCTTTTCGAACGTCCATTACAGAAAAGGCAACAGCTTTTATCAATTTTAATAAAATAAGTAATTAATTGGCGTTATCTGAAAACTGTTTATGTCAGCTTGATACTAGTAGCAAAAATGTGACATTTCTAATAAAAAAAGCGCTACACTAGGCTTACTTGATTTTGTTATTTATTATGTATCGTTTACAGGAAAATATAAGAAAAGTATAAGCAACAGTTTCATGCAAACATTTTGAAATTAATATTTCTAAGTAATGACCTATCTGGGAACCACTGTGCGACGGATCGACTAGTGCGTTCGTAGCGCGATGCTAGGCGGCCAGTTGGAAGTATGTTGCCGATGCCGGACCGAAAGGACCGCTAGGAGGAACTAGAGGAACTAATTAAAAGACTAGTTTACGGGAATCTACTCGGTTCGCAGTTCCGAGATATAATACAAGGTGATGACGACAGATCCGGCCTTGTATACGACCGCGGCCAGCGAGGGGTTAATTACTACAGAAAATTGTCGTGGATACTGTTTTAATTTTTAGTTTCTCCTTTGAATATTTTATGGAAATATTTCACTTTAGATCCCCTAAAGTCTGTTCAACTAGAGAATACATGACAATGACAGCTGTTGCGGGTCATTATAAGTCCAGAATCAATTGTATTCTCTGTCATTTTTCGAATATCATCTGTCCAAACCTTCCCTACAGATTCCTTGAGATATCTGAACACAAAAAGGAAAAAATTACTACAAATCTGTTAATAAATGTTTCTTTCTTGGCCAAAATAAACGGGGGATTTTCTCTCGTTATCTGAGAGCTGGAAATGTCAAGAAAAAATTAATCGTGGAAAATTCCCAGCTGCACTGAGTGTCGTGAAGGATGAGGCGATATAAAAATAATTTTATCTCGACTCTCTCACTTCCTGACTTCCCCCCGCTTGTTTAAAACGATTCACGCAGTAAATCAAATCCAAAGGATTTTCAGAAGATCCTTGTTAATTGGTTTATACGGGTTGTCCCATTTTCATGTGTTTTGCAGGGTTTCTCGCTTATGAGTAGAGGTACAAAGATGCGGTTTCACATTACTATGCCACTTTTTAGGGTTCTGTACCCAAAGGGTAAAAACGGGAACCCTATTCCTAAGACTTCACTGTCACAAAGGTCTATCTTATGAACCTTTATAGCTAGACAGTTGAAATTTTTACAGATAATGTATCTATGTTGGCGCTATAAGAACAAATACTAAAAACAGAATTAAATAAATGTTTATAAATTCCTCCAAAACATTATCTTTTAAGTAAGAATTTTACATAGAATCTTTCAAGTCCTCGATGGCCGCGTTGTTAAAGCGTTAAGACTTTACGCTACTTTGACGTTGGAGCCGTAGTAAGGCAGGTTCGAATCCTAGCCAAGGCGACTTTTTTTTAATCGTTTTTTTTTAATTTTTGCATATTAATTTTTACTTTTTACATATTTATTATTGATTAATACAATTTTTAGTAATGTGTTTCTTCATTTTTTTTTAAATTACTTATACGCGCATTCAAAATTTCAGCTAAATCGGAAAAAAAGTTTAAAATAATATAGTGTCTAATGTTGTATAGATAATGAATGGTACGGAACTCTTCGTGCTCGAGTCCGACTCGCACTTGACCAATTTTTTTATGAAACTAAAAATGCTATTTACAGAGATTTGTTCTTACCCTCTTTCACCGTTTCTGAAATACAGGGCCAACCTAAATACAAAATATTTTCATGGGGTCTGTCTGTCTGTCCGTCTGTACGTCTGTAACACGATAACTCAAAAACCGCTAAACCGATTTTAACCAGTGGCATCCGAGAATCTGGCCATTAGTTTTTGGAGGGGGTGGGGGGTTGGTAAGGTGGTATGGAAAGGGGTTAAAAATCTTAAAAAAT